CCAAAACAATCTCTCTATTCCGACTATCATTGCTAATCACTTCGTCTAATACATGTTCCGGTAATTTAACTACCTATAAATAGATGGACGTTTGACCCGTGTCAAAGGTTGGGGGGTGGCTGACGATTCGGGAGGTGGCTGCGGGTTGACGAAAGGGAAAAGCGCATCGTCGTGACGTCCTGTGTGAAAGAGGCGCTTCTAACTTATTCTAAGAATCGCCGTGACGTCATAAGCGAAAGACACCTCAAAATCATTCTTAAAATCGCCGTGACGTCATGACCTAAAAATGCTTCTGACTTATTCTAAGATTTGAGATGGAGGTGGGGGTTGGGGTGGGGGGGTTGTAGCTTTGTTTAATTGTTTTCTTTTTTGTTGTTGCTTTGGTTTTTTTTTGGGGGGGGGTGAATGTACCTTTCAAAAGATAGGAACAATACTTGTCCAGCAGCCTTTCTATGCTCTTAATACTCCACTCCATCATTTACTGTGACTGTTTTGGGCATGTTCATTGTCCAAGAAAGTTCCAGAGGGCAAAGAGAGACACTTTGGCGCAATGGAAAAGAGAAAAAGCAAATGAAACAGAAAAAAATAAATGATGGAACCAGGAGACAGCGCACGCGAGCGCACAGAACTGCTATCACCCAAGAAACAATCCAGACCTCTGGTACCTCTTTAGTTTTGTTAGAGAGTTTTACAGCACTTGCAACACAGATAGGCCATACAAGTTAGTGCCAACGATCAGAAGAATTACTAGAGTGTTACAAGGAAAGAAAAGAAGGAGAAGAGATAAAACAATAGATGCTAAATATTAGGTCAAAATGTGCAAACCACTTCAGAGCACCCGCTAACCACCCATAAATACTTTTTTTTTTAAGACACGTATTCCCTCACAGGTGTCAGACAAGAGTCGTTTTGAGCTATCCCTTATTAGAATAAGTTAAAAGCGTCCTTTCTTATATGACGTCAAACGACCAACGCGTGGCCCCACGGAGGCCGGAGACCCCGAATATGCTTGCTTGTTTTAGTAACAGTTTTACAGCACTTGCAACGTAATAACGTCACATACGCACAGAAGAATAGAAGTGTTACGGGAGAGCAACAAACACAAAAAAGGAGGAAAGATCAGGCAAGACGATTGATGTTTCATTCAAAGGGGAAAAAAGGAGTAAACCACCCCAGAGCACCTGCCAACCGTCAGTTATGCGAAGTGGGTCAGATAATTACGAATGGAGGGCTCCCATTTACTTAAACCCGTTTTCTTTCGACCCCCCCCCCCCAATTCCAACCCCTACCTTATAACAGTCATGTTTAAAGCTCATCTTCAAGCCATGAGGAATAATATCCCGTTATAGATCACATCAAAAAGGTCAAGGTTCCTCTTTATTCAGTTTCTAGCCTTGAGCATAGCTGTCAACAATAACAGTCAGTCTAAAGTCCTGTGTGTGTTGTTGTTTTTTTGTTTTTGCTTGTCTGTCTATTTGTTTGGGTTTTGTTTTATTTTAGTTTCAGTTCTGTTTTTGTTCTTTGGAAGGCAGGGGGG